AATGACCACCTACTTTTAAGATAAGGAAATGACTAATCTTTGGTGGTCATTTTCTCACTAATTTTACCTCTGAAAAAAGGTGACCCCCACCTCCTTCTTTCGCAAATATCTCGTCTTGTATTCAAGATAAATGGACACTTTTTTTTTCATCCTAATAAAGACAAGTGAATAAGCTTTACGATGATACCAATAACTCTACATGCCTAAAAATTGACGAGAGCCTGATTCCACCACGCTGCATCACATACGGTGATGATGATAGTGGTGGTGGTGGTGGTGATGATGATGATGATGATGATTACGATGATGATGATGATAATTACAATGACAATGATGACGATGATGATGATGGTGATGGTGATGATGATGATGATGAAACAGCCCTCCATTCCCTGTCCCCGAGAGCTGAGCAGACAGACCCACCTGCAGACTGCGGCTGAGGGCACTCAGGAAGTCGGTGAGGCAGAACACGTGCTCTTGACCGACCTTGAGCAGGACCAGGCTTGTCTCCACCTCCAGGAACAACTGAGGGATGGGAACAATGGGGAGAGATATATGGGAGGAACGGGGAGAGATATATAGGAACATGGGAACAACTGAGGGATGGGAACAATGGGGAGAGATATATGGGAGGATCGGGGAGAGATATATAGGAACATGGGAACAACTGAGGGATGGGAGGAACGGGGAGATATATGGGAATATAGGAACATGGGAACAACTAAGGGATGGGAGGATAGGGGAGTGATATATAGGAACATGGGAACAACTGAGGAATGGGAGGAACGGGGAGAGATGTATGGTAACATGGGAACAGCTGAGGGATGGGAGGAACGGGGAGAGATGTATGGGAACGTGGGAACAGCTGAGGGAAGGGAAGAATGGGGAGAGATATGGGAACATGGGAACAGCTGAGGGATGGGAGGAATGGGGAGAGATATGGGAACATGGGAACAACTGAGGGATGGGAGGAATGGGGAGAGATATGGGAACATGGGAACAACTGAGGGATGGGAGGAATGGGGAGAGATATGGGAACATGGGAACAGCTGAGGGATGGGAGGAATGGGGAGAGATATGGGAACATGGGAGAGATATGTGAGAACATGGGAACAACAGGGAGAGAAATATTGTATGACTTTATCTCGTAACATACACTACAAGACAATCTCTGAGCTACTGAAACACACTTCTTGTTGAAAGGAAATCAAACTACTGAGTACAATAGGATTTAAATAAATATCTTATCTTATCTTATCTTATCTAATCTTATCTTAAAGTAATCAAAAGCACACAAAGATAAAACAGGCCTCAGCAGTTCATCTGTTCTCAAGACCAACCAACCGGTCCACGACCAGAAAGCCTGAGAAGAACTCGCGGTTTACAGAAAAAGATTACAGTCTCTAGAACTCCAGTAGATAAAGTTTACATAGCAAATCGACCGAGACCCCAGACAAAAACAAAATTCAAGAAAAAAACTCATTTTATACAAATCTAATTGAGGTTCTTCAACGAGTTAAAAATAAAATTGCAGAGCTGTGAGTTTTTGTGTTTGAGTAAGGTTTTACAGCATTCACAACTGTATAAGGTCATATGAGCGCCAAGGGGTGGATGTCAACAGAGAAGTCTTTACAGGGAATCAGACTTTGACTGCTCGCCTCTCTAGCTTCAACAGCACAAGGTCTGTTTCGACTATCAAGGCACCCCGGAAATAGCAGGTCACAAAAGAGCGACAAACATACAAAAGAAGTAGAGGAAAAATGACGATAGTAAGGATGAGGAAAGAAAAAGCAGCAGTTCCCCCTATGTTGTTCCAGCACTGTATGAGCATGACATTGATAAATCAGCCCATTTACATTTCTACTGTGCATAAGAGCATGTTAATATCTCCCCCCC